AAATGGACTGCAGGGTCGTCGGTGGCAAGAAGGAGACGGTCGTCATGGACGAAGCCATCGTCGGAGTCCATCCTGAAGATGGTTGGTCAGTTGGTTCGAGGGGGATCAACAAAGCTGGTGCAGAGCAGACTAGGACAACGGCGCGCCTGGAACGGAAAAAACTGGTTTCCAAGGGTGCCATGAAAAGGCTGCCAGCTCGAACACTTCATGGGTCAGAGAAGGCTTCACGCACCGGGCCACAGCTCCTGAAGAAGCCGGCTTCAACACACATGAAGCGGCCATGTGGTGTGATGAAAACGATCCTGAAGAAGCCTGCTGCCGTTCGACCACCAGCCAAACGACTCAAGAAGACTGCCGCAAACCTCAAGACAAACGGTGCCTGGCTATGGCTTGCTGTCGCTGTGGGCAAGAACAAGGAGATCTACACCCATGACAACGGCAAGAAACGCATCACTTATCGTCTTCTGCCTTCTCGCAAGAAAGCCATAAAGAACAAACCTCGCGGCTTTGAAGAAATCCAAAACACGGTTGAAAAGCACGTCGCGAAAGGCTCGTACTTGGTGTTTGACGGTTGGACTGCTACCAAAAAGGCTGTGGAAGCACTAGGCTATGATTACGCACCTCCTGTGAAACATGAAAAGTGTTTTCGTGATCCTGCTACGGGGTTCCACACGAATGATGCAGAGTCTGAAAACGGCAGGCTCAAAAAGTGGTCAAGGCGCCGCTATGGAAAGCTTTCTTTGGACATACTCGAAATGGATGAGTATGTCTTTTATGTCAATGTCGGAACTGACATGTCTTCAATCCTGAAAGGACTGGCACGAGCCAACGGGGTCATTTGCAGGAACGACCTGCTTGAAATCTAGTAGGGGCACGTCGAAGCTTGAAATCAGATGGGGAAAGCGCTGTGCTGCATTGCACTGCTCTGCTGGCTAGCACAAGTAAACAAGTTAGAGAAACGATGCTCGTGTGTTGCTGCTGAAACATCTGAGGTGCCTACATTGGCTTGGTTGTCTACGAGCATCTGGGTATGGGGCATGACTAGGGTCAGTACATCATTCGCACTGTATTGTATTGGGCGCAATACCGAAGATGCAGAAATGTAGGGGGGGGGGAATGACCACGCGCCCATATATATATATATAAATACAACATATGTATGTAGGAAGAGGAAGCGAGAGAGAGAGAGAGAGAGAGAGAGAGAGAGAGAGAGAGAGAGAGAGAGAGAGAGGGAGGGAGAGAGAGGGAGAGAGAGCAGACCACACATGTGCCTCGAGCGTGTCCAGCATCGCGCGGTGCGCATGCTGCAACCAGACCTGCAAAGCTTACATGGGGACCTGAGATACGATCAGATACGAAAACATACCATACACTCTACGTAGTATCCTGCGATACACCATAATCCGATTCAACATGAGAAACTACAATATGATAACACACAACAACGAAGAATATTTCAACTATCCGATGCCTGAACACATCAAGAGCTTCCTCTCACGCCTGAATACATCAATAACTTCCTCTCACAACAGTCCTTTCTGATGCTTTAATGTACTACAAATGTAAAATGGGAACCCTAAGGAGTCTTATTGGCAACTATTGCCGCTCTTGTCTTAATCTGGACGGGCCTTAAGGTTCATATCTGTAAGGCGAGCTCCTTGAGGGTCCTACAAATGCTCTATAACTGTAAGGCGTCTAAAAGGGTTTCCGGGTTCAGCGTTTCAGGGAGGGTTCTGGAGCTGGCAATGTTAAGGTTTTGCACTCACGGCTCCCTGAGTCTATAATATAGATGCTGTTGGACTGTTGAAAAAAAAACAAGAGCCGAAAGGAATGATGCGGCACCCTTCATCCTAAGAAACCTGAAACCAACAACATGCTGAAACAAACAACATTGCCCTTCATCTCACTCATGTAAACACCACCGAATCTGCTTCCCGGACCTCTAAACCAAATCGTCGGCCATGAAGCCGAAAACCTAGAATGCTACGCTCTGAGCCTTAGATGTTGAATTCTTGGTTCCTGATGCATCGGAGCACTCATACCGCCCAACGCCCTGAACTTTGACCGGCGCTTGAAGGTTGTGAAACGAGATCGGACCTACCTCCTTCATGGTCCCAAAACACCCTACTTAAAGTCTCCGTTGTAGTTCCTACTTTGTCGAACCAAATCTAAGTCTAAAGTATAGGATCCTGACCGTAAAACTAGTTAATCAAGAGAGGAACACCAATGGAGACTCTGGTGACTACAGGTAGACCCTAAAATCTCTTTAATCAGCCCCCGACGCTGACACCCTCAACCCAAAATCCTAAACTTTACAGCCCCAGGTCCTGGAACTCCTCAAAACAAAAACTCGTAGTGCAACCTACATAACAGCCCGTACAATGCCGCCCTCAGTCAGAAACCCGTATGCCCGTGACGGGAGGCCAGTCCTGGGATTGCACGAGGGCCTCGACGAAAGGATCTCCTGCCACATGAACTTGCAATGAAGGGTTGCTCGTCAAGACAATGACGATTTGCATATGCACCCATATGCATGTGCAAGCACATAATGTGCATAACTTTATTAATATACCTCGTATTGGTATGTGTGTCTGCGTACATATGTAAACATACATAGCTACCTATACCTACAGTACCACATACCTACCTACATACATACATACATCATTAACTACATACATACATACATACATACATACATACATACATACATACCTATGTACAAACACACATACCTGCATATAGTTACAGAGCGTTTTCATATATACATATATATATATATGCATATGTATATATGCACATAGCTACATATATGCACACGCATGCTATACATGTATGTATGTCTGTACGTATGTATGCTTGTATGTATGAAGGCAGGTAGGTATGTTCAAACACATATGTGTGAATCCCCCGACTCGAACTCAAACAGTGCCCGCGGTCAAAAGGGTTCAGGGACTAGAACTATATTCATAGTCCTACTTGTCGGGTATCATTGGGAACTAAAGGTTATATAACCTTTTTCGTCATATAGGGGTTACATAGGGACTATACTACCCAAAACCGGTTAAAGGTTACCTACTCCACTACTAGGGAATAGTGCTACAGCCAACCCAAAAAGACGGCCAACGGATCAAGAACCGGCCTAAGTGTTCGGGGTTTGCTTAAGGGGTTACCATAAGAGTTCTACAGTGGCTACTACAAGGGCTGCGAGATTTCGGGTTCTGGAGTTTATGTGAGGTTTTTGCGGAAATTTGGGGTTAGGGTTTAGAGGCTTAGGGGTGTTGACGTCTAGGGATGAATGATCTGAGTGTAAGTTGGTAGGTATCTGTGCGCTTGAAACACATGGCAGCAAGGCATCCTGTTGTGCTTGTAATATAACCGCATGTCTAGGCTTAAGAAGATATGTGCTGCTGATCACATTTTTCATTCGCATAGTTCCCTCATCATGTTTAATTTCGCGCTTGCTCCGTTGAAGCGACCTTTTGGAGTATAGGACCTAAAGGAATTATTGTATAATCCTTATTATGGGTAACATGCAGGGTTTATATCCTCAACCGTAATTTAGAGTTCAGGGTTTAGGGTTAAGGTTAAACCTGAAAAACAGTCATCCAGCCCAGGCAGCAGAACAACTCACCCCCGAACTCCCCCCAAAACAATCGTCTGCCGTGAGGCTCGGATTCAGAATCCAGGTCATCGACTTTGCTGACTTCAAACCGGTCCCCCAAAAGCCCAAGAATGAAAGATAAGCTGTGATGGCCTCGTGATTCCCGCCCTGGACATGAACCCATCAGCTCTCTGGCCTTCGAACCTTAAACTGAAGCGCTGAGGGGTTTAGGGTCTAGGTACCTAGGGTTTATAGGGCCTAACCCGATCAGCTCTTAAACTCTACAGCTACGACATTTAAAGCTCTAAACCAAAATCACCCCCGACTCTCCGAACCGAAACTGCACGCTACGAGTAGGGCCTGCGTCAACATTCGTGGCTTGGCACCACGCCGAGCTCGATACCATGGCTTGGCTTTGAGTCAAGAATGCTCAGTGCAGGACTTTTAGGGTTTATAAGGGGCCCCAACCATGTGGATTCAGGTAGCTTTTAGGCTTAAGAGTTTCGAGCGCTCCAGCTAGAGGATTCGGGGAGTTTCAATCCTCGGCTCAACTTTCTGCACTCGGGCTAGGTTTACGATCTAGCCGAGCGTCGAGCTTGGGGGTTTGAGTTCCATCAAGCTTCGGGTTTGGCTCCTCAGGGTCTGGGATTTAAGGCTTAAAATTCTTTAGTTTTTTGCGGTTTAGCCCTGGAGAGTTTCGAAAGATGTCTCCGGCACCCTGGACCTCGAGATCAGTACCCCTGTACGCTGTGACGGGTGCTAAATCGAAGCAGGACTATCATTCATGCGGCCCACGTTGAGAGGGTCCAGAGTCAGGTTTCAGAGTTTAGGTGCTATTCTGGCCGAGCAAGCTGGTTGCCACATGTTGGGCTGAAGTTTAGGGTTTAGGGAGTTAAACAGAACAAGACACAACCCACACGAGGCCTACCGCAGAGAAGTGCAATAGACGCTCTTTTTCTAGTCATGTCTTGAGCCAAATACATTGTAGAATTCAGTGTGAAACGAACACTCTCTGAGCCTACGGCGTAAGGCCTAGAAGCTATGCTTTACTACACCACTACTAGGTGCTTAGGGGTCGATATTTCTTAACTCCCCCCTCGCCGTGCACATCGTAGTGCAAAAGGCTGGGCCCTTTCGACCGACGCCAAAATGGCTTCATGCCGGGATAAGGGCGTGCGAGCGGGGGCTGCGGCACGGACGCTCGCGCATCGCTGCTTGCGGGCGCTAAAAAGGCTGCCCCCCTTACTCGCTCGGACTGGCGATTTAGAATCAAATGATAACAGACGCATCTTTGGGATGCGTTTCTGGAACCATACCAATCTATTGGGAACCGGTTGGCGCAACCAAGCTACCCCTTTGTCACAGAGGACTGGGCGCTATGAGCAGACTGCAGCCCCTACTTCTTTGAAGACTTGGGCGCTGCTCCTGGCTTTGATGACAGCACGCGTTTGTCAACAAGCTCTTTGGGCATCTTTGTGCGTAACCCCAACAAGCGGATTGCATTGTCCCACTTTGCAGGTGGAAGCTGCTTCGTGAAGATGTCTGCTGCTTGAAGGTTGGTGTCAATATAGGAGATATCAACACCAGAGCCCTCTTCGAGTTGCTCTGCGAGGCAAGACAAATTCACTTTATGCGTCCGCGAGATGTGGCGAAGCTTCGGTGAAAAACCCTTACGAGCTATGAGGATCGTGGCTTGGTTGTCCTCATGCACAGTCATCTGCATCGTTCTGCCAAGAAGCGTGTCCCACAGGCTTAAAGCGGGAAGTCCCTCACTGTACAGTGAGTGTGCCAGGGAAACTATCTCAGACTCTGTAGTGGATCTGGAGGTAGAGGTCTGGCGTTTACTAACCCAAGCCAAAGGGAAAAAGGTATTAGGGCCTGAAAGAACTAAATACCCCCCTGAAGTGCTGCGCGCATGGGCCTTCTCGCCCGCGAAATCTGCATCTACATACAAAGACAGCCTGAGGTCGTCTGGGCTGTCGTTGACGTGCCCCACTAAACGATGGTGCTTTGTGCTGTCAATATAGCAAACGAGACGGTGCGCTTGGCGGTCGTTGTTGCGACTCCATTTTTGCACGCAGGTTGCCAAGTCACCTATTGGCTTTATTATGTCTGGGCGCGCTAAGCGGCCTAACCACAATGCCTTCATAAGCAACTTACATGCAGCGGGCGCTAACTCACCTCCGACTTCGTCGTCAGATGGTGGAAGCGACCCCTCAGGGCAGAAGGGCGTTTGGGCGCTCTTTAGCTTCTTGGCCCCTGTCAATGATAGGTAGAGGTCTACGGTTTGCTGTGCGTAGTCTACCATATCAAATGACATTGCGTCCTTGGCTGCAGCGACTGCCGGCATGTCAGCTGCCTCACTATCTACATCAACGATGTAGTGGTTGCGCCCCAGGACACGAAACACGGGCTCAGGAGGCTCGACATCGACGAGAGCAGTGAGCTCGTCCCAGAAGGCTTGGTGCTCTGCCTCTGGCCCTGACAACGTCAGGTCGTCGACATATGTCGATAACAAAAGCCTGCGATTGGGGAACCAGTAGTTTCCGGGAAACTCTGGAACCTCCTTGCCCCCAAGGCCCCTAATGATGTGCGCTAAGTGCTTCTCCCACAGGCCCCCTGCGTCGGGGTGGCCATAGAGGGCACGAAGCAGCAACACAACGGGCCGGGCGAACTTCTCTCTCCACCACTTCGGGCGAAGCTCGGGGGGAAGTTCAATCCACGTCTGATGCTTCGACTTCAGCAACGCCTGAACGTATGCCTTAATCGCATCTGCCGTGGTGGTGGCATGCCCCTGAAGGGCGCCGTACGCTAGGCAATTGTTGAGCCCCTGGACAGAAGTGGGATTGGCACCCAACTCCTGGTACACAGCAGCTGCCCCGTACTCGTCTTTGGCACAGTCACCCCTATAGACGATACGCCCTTTGAGCTTTTGCAGGTGCTTCGCCAGCTCATAGAACTTAATCGAAACTATAGTCATTAACCTACCAAAGTGAACCTTAGCCCCGGAGCTCTTAGCTTCCCGTTGTACGTCAGCGTACTCTCGGGGATGGGCCTCGTCCCAGACGGGAACAGCTTTGAGGCCATCGGCTTCGCTCCTAAGAGCTGCTAGAGCCTCCGGGCTGGCGAGCATCTCTGCGCGCGAGAGGAGCTTGGTAACCATAGCAGCAACCTCCGGATTTGACTGCTTCCCATCCCAGTCTAGGCCACAAACTTGCGACACTAAACCGTTCAGGTCCACAATCTCCTCCACGATGCGCTTTGTGGTTGGGTCACTTTCCACCACAGCGGCAAAGTCCTCGAGACCTGCGAGTGGTGAGATGTGCCTCAAAGCCTGCTCCTTCGTGCGATGCTCTTGCTGTTCCTGCATAGGGATCACTGGCATGGCAGGTGCAATGGGTGCCTGAGCATTGTGATTGAGGGCAAGCACAATGTGGCGACGCAGTGCGGGCATGTCTGTGGGAACATGCTGTGTAACACCCTTGTCCTTAGAGCACTCCTCAACTTGATGCTCTTTCTGAAACCTTCCAAGCACTTCAACTAAGCGGGTTGAGGTGGTGTAAAACCTGAATGAGGCACGAAGCGGTTTCTCGTCCTTACCCCACCAACCAAAGTCACAACCTTTAACCTCAACCTTGTGCAACACGTCTTTGTGCTCGGAAAGAAACTCTTTCACTGCAGGGCGACGCCAACACTCTGAGTTGGTAGGCCAGACAAGCGTACACCCGTGGCCCTTCTCCAACGCGTGGCGTGCGTGAGAAGCAAAGGCTAAGAACCTGTACCTAAAGTTCACAAGCTGAGCTAACCACCTCCCTTTTGCGGCTTCGCCGTCCCTCTTCCTAAACCCAGTTAGGTTAGGGAGCGCTCCCCAAAGGTGCGCGCTCGGCACTGCGTCAAGTTGTTCGGCAACTTGGGCTTGAACGCAGCTGTCCTCGAGATCAAAGTACTGTCTCGAGAGGCGCAGGTGTGGAACACCGAGCTCAAAGTGGGACTTACCAAAGGCTGAAGTGGTAGAGCAGTCGTACTCGAAAACGGTGGTAAAGCCTTTTCCTTTTGCCTTTGCTCTTCGTGCCCTTCGGTTGGTTCCTTTCTGGAAAACTGGCTTTTGCTGAGGAGCTTGCTTTGCAGACACACCAGCAGGGACACCAAACACTGGAGGCTGGTCACCTGTTGCTTCGGCGAGCTTTGTGCTGGTTGCTGTCGCTGAAGGAACAGCAGCACCGGCAACTGACGAAACCCCAGCGTCCCCCCTGACGGGCGCTTCCGGCACAGGAGCAGGAGTGGGCGGAGCCACGCTTTCTGCAGCGGGTGTCGGCGGCACAGTTTCTGCGGGAGTTGGTGGCACTGGTCTGCCTGGAGTGGGAGGTAGAGAGCGGCGCTCTTCCTTCTCCCTGCGCTCTTTCTCAACAAGTTCCGTGAAACGCTTGCGGCACTCTGGCGTGTGTACCGTCGCCTTCCCGTAGCAAGCCTTACACCCAGGGGTTTCCTTAAACTTAATGATGCGCTCTACAGTGATATAAACACTCTTCACCTTAGGGTCCCTAAGGGGAGGCCTAACGTCACTGCCCTCTGGCGGGAACGGCACTTCCTTAAGCGGAATGTCTGGGAGCACGCCCTCTGCAGCCCCTTCAACCAGGGCGCGGCGATTAGCATTGGCCACAGGAAAGACTGGAGGGCCCTCCTCGATAAAGAGCTCGTCTTGTGGGACGTCAACAACCAAGGTGTTGCGCTTGGAACGGAACTCTATGTAATCGAGGACCTTGGTCACGAACCTATACCTTAAACCTGAGTCTAGGCGCCATCCTAAAAACAAACCAGGCTGAAGGTTCGGATCCAGAGCCCTTGTCGAGGGACCCTTCTTGCGGTAATAGACAAGCTGTCCAAAACACGCGCGGATACCTTCGAAGGGAGCCTTTGTGAGAACCTCCCACTGTGACTTAGACTTGTCACTGTGGCTCGCTCGGTCGAAAGAAAGCGAGAGGCAAGCGTAAGGGTAAGAGTAGGTGTGGAAGTCGTAGGGCAATCCCGACTGAAGGTGGATGCTCCTACAGCACTCTTTCTCTTCCCTTACGTCGCGCTCAAGCACCGAGTTATGAGGCCATCGGTTCGGGAGGGATGTCTCTGGAATGAGACCGACCTCCGACGCTGCCCCTTCAAGCTCGCCTGCTTCATCCATCTTAACTAGACAGACCGGCGGCTTTGAGGTTGGGCGCAAACCGAAGAAGTGCCTCGAAGTTCTTGGCGTGGTTCTGAAGCGTCCTGCGAGACAGTGGGTAAGCAACCCTAGCCCCTGAAAACACATCCCTTACAACGTGGTGTGACTTCACCCCCCCTGTCCCTACGCCACGGTGGTCGTCACCTCGGGCCATGATGACATCATCTGTTGCGATCTGCTGCCACGGCGCGGTGGGCACATCGATGAGATCATCGGACTTGGTGTCTGGCTTTTTGGCAACTTTCATCGATGTAGTCTTGGCAAGGCTACATATTCGGCAAAAGGGGTTCTTAGGGAAGTGTGTAAGGAGGTGCTTCGCGGACTTAGCTTCAGCCATTAAGGTCTCCCGTTTGTGCGGTTTTAAAGACTTTGGGTCCACTAAGTCAATCAGAGGTTTGTCGTCCTCCGGATCGACTGCAGCACTGGGCACAGGCTTTTCGGGCGCAAGGGCGCTGGTTGCAGCCCCTTCCTCGAACAGTTCAGAGAACGAGGGGGAAGGTGGTTCTACAGCAGCTGACTCTCGGGCACCGGAAGGTGCGCTCCCTTCAGCGCTTGACCTAAAAAGCTGTGCTCCAACCTTTGAGGCAAAGTCGTCCGCCTCCTCGAGGTGACCGGCTTCAAGCTCCTCGTCGCTAGTAGCAACCTCTGTGGGGGCGTACCCTGGGAGATCACCAGTGCCACTTCCGATGTCTTCGTCAACAACGGACACGGCGTCGGATTCAACAGCGCTTGGCGAAGCAGCTGCCTCAACGGGACTTAGCTGCTCAACGGACTGGTGAACTACAGGCGACAACCGTTCATCGAATTGCGGCACGTATTCTACGACCCTGGAAGCATTAAGCCTAGCACCCCTAGGAACCCTAAGCTTGCAGCGGTGGACTTCTGAGGCAGGCACGAAGTAGGGGCCAGGTTCCTTAGGGTCCCAGACAAAGAGACAACCTTGGTCCTGGACGGCCTTTCCTACACTAAGTGCTGGAGGGCACTCTTTCAGCACGTAGACCTGTTCCTCTTGCGGCACTAGCTTGCTGCCCCCAAACGACAGAGACTGGGTGCAGTGCTGGGCGCCACCACCTGTTGCAAAACCTACGGGCGTGCTTGTTGTGCGGACGCAGGCGCGCATGTCAGAGCTCAAAGCCTGGCGGCCTATGAGATGACGACCCGCGGCAGTATCCCACAGCCATGTCACATTGTTCTCTGTGTTGGCTATGTTGCTGGCAGGCATTGCCGGGATGACTGCTGCGATTGCTGCGTTAGCCTTCGCCTTTGCCTTTGGCTTTGCTGCGGCCCTCGGAGGGGGACCAGTGTACTTCTTCTTGTCGTCGTGCAAGAAGGGGCAAGGATCGGCTTTACACATGCCGTGAGCATAGAACATGCAGGGAGTCTTCTTCTTTTCTGCCGCTGTCATGTCTTTCACCCGCTTGACCTCTGCAGATCTCGGGGTGGTGTCGCCTTTGCCTCCGCCCTTGTCACCCTGGCGCGGTGTTGTTCTGGGAGACTTGTCTCCTTTACCGCCTTTCCCCTTTCCTTTGGGCGCAGGTGCTGCGGGGACTTCTTCGTCCTTCTCTTTCTTTTCTTTCTTTTTCTTCTTTTTCTTCTCCTTCTGCGGCTTGTCGGCAGCCCCTTTCGGGGCAGCGTTGGGCGCAGGAGTGGCAGGAACACTGGGCTGGTCTTTGCCAGCGGTGGCGGTTGAAGTGAGCACCTGCGGCTTTGCACGGAGATTCTTGTCGAACTCCTCGCGGTTCACCTTTTGTTGGTGAAGCTGCAGGGCGAGGTCAACCTTAGACCAAAGCCACTCCGACGTCCGACGGTGACTGCCAGACGCTGCTTCGCGAGCCTTTTCGCAGCGCGGTCTCATGATCCCGTTCTTTTCGAGCTCATCGAGAAGATGATTGAACATCGTCTGCGGGCGCGGCAGCTCATCGATTGGGATTGTAGTGAGCACGTACAGGTATCGGTCTCTAAAGGCTTCAAGTGCAGCGGCGTCGTTGCCCTGCATCTTCATGCTCAAGAGATTCCTCTCACCTAACATACCTATCCTATCCCTCTCAAGCTGGAAGTGCTTAAAGATCGACCGCAGCATGACCCTACCATTGGGCATGCCACCGGATGCCATACGCTCGGCCTCGGTCATCTGCTGGAAGAGAAGACCAAAGCGGCCGTTACGGCAGGTCTTTAGCAACTTTGCCGACACTTCGCGAGTGAGGCGGGGAAACCTAGGGTCTTGCTTAAGCTGAGCCTCTGTGTGAGTGAGGCACTCCTGCGCCCACTGGTAAACTTCATCACCAGGGGTTCGCTGAACACGAGCTATGGCAACTAGAACCTGATTAACATAACCCCTAGCTTGACCCGCGTTAGTGGGTGGCTGTGGGAAGGTCATGTCGGAAAGACTCTTGACCCTGATCACGGTCTCTTCGTAATCCGCAGGTGTCTGGACCTCCCCCGGTGCGCTGGAAGCAGCACCCCTTCCTGGAGACGCTGCTGGTGGCGGCAACGGTGGACCACTACCTGAAGGACTACCCCCACCCCCATCCCCACCCCCGCCGTTGGAAGAAAGCCACGGACAGTCTACCTCTAGGTGCAGCTTACTGCCACAAACCCGGCAGGCTGGCTTAGAGGAACCCTCTGAGGAAGACGAGCTTTCAGAACTGGCTTCGGAGGCAGGTCTAGGAGAAGTTGGTGCAAACAGTTGCGGTGCCTGTGTTGGCAAGTGCAGTGTCGGAACTGGTGCTGTTGCTGACGCCTCCGTTGTGGGAGGTGGTGGCGTTACACTAGAAGACACAGACGGTTGCTGCAAAACAGCCATGGCTTGCGCCAAGGTTTGCACTGTTGTAAGGAGTTCGCCGACCTGAAGGCTCAAGGCTTCAACTTCAGGGTTGCGCGTGGGACTCTGTTGCACAGCTGCCGCCTCTGGTTGTGCAGAGGGAGCATCGGAGCTTGAGGTTGCAGGCTGCTCGGCGGGTTGTGCCGCTGAGGCTTCCGGTGCGCTAGGAGCAGCACCCTCTTGGGGCGACTGCGTCGGGGGCTTGGGCCCCCCTGCTGGCACACTGGGTTGCAAGACTGCTTCCTCGCCCCTATTGCGGGCGGCTGGCGATGGAGTTGTAAGAGCCGGGCCATTATGGCTTGTGTCAGGTGAGAAAGACATTGGGGGCCAATGCGCTCGCGAGGTTGCTTTCGGAGTCACCGCTGGCGCAACTACGTCTAGCTGCGTGTTAAGTTCAGCCTCTCGCCGAGCCCAATAGTCATCTGTGAGCCGGCGTTCCGCGATCAGCTGCTCAACCCTGCGGTTGCTCTCCTCCCTTTCACGTTGCGACTGTGCGAGCTGTTGCTCTAGAAGGGCTATGCGTTCCAACGCGGTGCGCTGTGCTGCTAAGACCTCTTCCTGGGCGCGGGTGTGAAGAACTGCCTGTGCGGCCTCAGCCCTGACCTGGGTTACCTCAGCCTGTGCCTGAGCACGGGTTTGGTCCACGGTGGTCTGAGCCTCGACCCTCGCTTGGGTTACCACGGCCTGCGCCTGAGCACGGGTGTGGTCCACTACGCTTTGAGCCTCCTGTCTGACACCTTGAGCCCATTCGCCGGCCTGTTGTGCGACCTGCTGGGCTTGAGCCTGTGAGCTTGCAGCTTGAGCCTGTGCGGTGTTCGCGGCGTGCAGTGCTACTTGCGCGCTCTGGTGTGCGTGCGTGACTGCGGCGCCCGCGAGAAAGGTAGCCTGAGTAGCAGTAAGTTCGGGAGGCCTCTGGGTTCCACGGGGTGAGGGCGAGGATGATGAGTCTTGTCGCCTACCCCTACCGGCGCTAATGGTGATCAGCGGGGCTCTGGTACCTGGTGGCCTTTGTCCCTGAACTATGGTTGCTGCTGCGGGAACAACGGGAAGGTCAGGTGGAGGTGCGAGGTCGGGTTCCGAAAAGGAAGAGTCCCCTAGCCTACTTGACCTAGACCTTTCATCGGACGGTGGGGTTATGCCTGCCATCCTAAACCCTATGTAACCGCTGCGGCTCAGACCCTTCTTTTTGGCTGGCTGCGAAACGATGTGGCGCAAAATGCGCAAAGCAATGCAAATTAAGTACGATACAGCACGCGGGAAGGATGCAACCGAAGAGTTATAACCCTAGCTTAGGCTATTAGCTCTATGTTCGGGCGCCTTTGGCTGCCCCCTTCCGGTGCGAAAAGAACTCTGGTGCACGCGCTTCGGCGGCACTTGCAAAAGAAACTCGGGGATTACAGGCCTTAGGGTTTTAGGGTGCGAGGCGGCTGCTGGACGTTGCCTTCGGGCGCCGTGGGCTGCCCCCCTGCACCTGCGCCTGGACCTGTTCCTTGCGAACCTTGCGGTGCCTAAGGAAAACCGGGACCTACCTTAACAACCTTAGGGCTTAAAGGTCTGGGGTGCGGCGTTTGCCGTGCACGCGGTCGGGCCTGGACCTTCGACCTGCGGGCGCCTTGTGCTGCCCCCCTGCCTTTGGCCTCTGGCTGTTGGGTGGTCGCTGTGGCTGTTGTTGCGGGCCGTGCCAGTCTGCCCCTTTTTGGTAAGTTGGGCGACGGCCGGTTGCGGGCGGCTTTGTGGTCTGCCGGTCTGCCCCTTGTTGGTGAGTTGGGCGACGGCTTGCCGGGGACGACGCGGGTTCCACCGGTTACTTAAGGGGGAGGTGAGGCAGGATGCCGTGCACACGGGTTCGGGCCTAAACCGTAGAACCTATGGGCGCTTAGAGCTGCCCCTCACCCCTTAGAACCTTAGCGGTGGATAACCTCCAAGTACTGGCTTTGTGCCAGCCTTGTTGCTCCAGTCGCTCCGGTGCGCTCTTCTCCCAAGGAGTGGAGCGACTCGCTGAGCTGCTGGATCGCGTCGAGGAGGTCTTGTTCAACAAAGAACCTCCGATCCGCCGGCTTCACGACCTGGACGCACTTGCAGCCCGTTCGCCGCGACTCCTTGACGATGTCGCGGTTATCGTCCACAAGGTAGTGGGCGCCTGGCTGCTGCCCCTGTACCGGGCCCAAGGAGTGCAACAACTCGGCCTTTCCGCCCGACCCCGTGCGTTCAAAGCACTGGTTGTAGGACGAAAAGGTGACACCGGCTTCCCGCTCAAGGCTGGGAAGTGCCGCTAGGGCTTCAGACCGGTGTGCTGCCGCCTGCCCGCGTCCGGTGAAGGAGAGCACGTGGAACACCAATGGTCTGTGGGTGGACCACAGATCACCGATGGCTCTCACAACCCGCGGGCTCCAGTTGCCCCGGTCCAAGCCGAGGTCAAGCACCTTGTGCCAATCCCAAACGATCGAGATCGTTGGGCGCAGCCCCACTTGCCTGGGCGCAGGTGCCACTGGAGCCTTTGCTGCAGCCTCTTCCCTTCTGCGCTGCGCGGCGGCTTCTTCTAGCCTGGCTCTGGCCTGGGCTTGCTGCTCCCTTAGCTGTCGTTGTTGGAGCCTTTCGGTTGGGGCAGCTTTAAAGGGCAACTGCTTGGGTACCTCGGGTAGTGGCGGCGGGGCTTTAACCCTAGGCTTAACTACCGTGGGACTACGCGAGCGATCGGCTGCCCCAATGGCGTGGGCGCCCTGATCAGGGTGCGAACGCGGTTCGGTGCTGCCGCTCGCTGGCTCCCCTGCTGTTGTTGCCTTGGCCTCCGCCTGTGCCTTTGCCTCTGCCTCTCGCCTCCTTGCTGCGTCAATCGCCCACTGTGGCGGTGGAGACGGCGCGGCCTTCGAAGGAATTGCCGGCGGCCCCTTAGGATCAGCTGTGGGCGCCTCCGTTGGCGGTGGCGACGGTACTGCAGGTGGTGGTGGCACGGCAGGAGGAGAGATCGTAGAAGCTGCCGGGGTTGCTGCTGCAGCCGGTGGCGCCGGCACTGTCCTAACGCGGCTGGGCGCACTCGGGGCTGCCCCTGTTGCGGGCTGCCGCGGGCTCCTTGACCGAGCCGGGCTGGACGGCCTAGCTTCTATAACCTCACCCGGCCTAAAAGCACCCACTCCTAGACTAAACCCTTCTGCTGTCCTCTCGCCCTGGCGGTCGCTCACCACAGGAGCTGTTGCAAGGTCAAGAGAGGCGGGCCTTCTGGAATAAGCTAGGGCAAGGTCAGCCCAGACAGCCTGAGGAAGATCGTAGGGATCGACCTCCTCAGTTGCAGCCCTTTCGGGCGCGGCGTCCGGGAGCACCTCTGCGTCCCTAGTGCCTATTTCAGGTGCTTGGGCGGGGCTTACCAGTATCCAGATGCCTTGGCGATCTACTCTTACCGTTGGGTAGCTACCAGGAGGGAGGTTAGTCGGTGGCTTTAAAATCCTAGGCCTTACTCGCAGCCGCCCCTCAGGCACTGGGCGCTCGGGTGGCTCAGAGAAAGCACGCTCGGAAAGGTTAGGTGAAGCAGGGCTATGTACAACTAGCGCTGGCGGCGAACTATGTACAGGCTCGTCCACTTCACACTCCTCAACCACCGGCTCCTCCTCTTCTCCCTCAGCGTGGGCGACGCCACTGACTTCAAGGTCCTCAGCGGCCCCTGCGTCAGTGTCGTCGGGCGCTTCCTCCTTAACACCCGCGACCTCGGCAACCACAGGCTCCTCGGATCCTGGGTCGCCTTGGTCGTGGGCGTCGGTGACTGGCCCTTGGTCGTCGTCGCCTCCCAGCTGTGGCTCCTCCTTTGGCAGCACGTCCGACGCAGTAACCGGCTTAGCGGCTTCTTCTTCAGCTGTGGCCTCGGGTGCGGCGGCCTCTCGAGATGCAGGCGCTTCTTCTGTAGTCGCTGCCTCTCCTGCTGCTGGTGCCGCTCCTTCGGCCTTTGCTGCTGCCGCCGGTGGCGCGGCCCCTTCAACCTTGGGCGCGGCCACCGCCGGCCCAACTCCAGTTGAAGATGCTGCTCCGCCGGCTCCAGTGAGCGGGGTCGCCTCGATGCGAGTCCCAGCGGTGTCCCTTGACCCAGACGCAGGTGTTGCTGGCGAAGTCGGCTGTGGCTTTGCCTTCGGGTTGGCTACGTTCGGGGTAGCCGGGTCTGCGGGCGCTTGTTGCTGCCCCTTGCCCTTGCCTTTAGCCTCCTTGCCTTTGCCTTTTCCCTTTCCTGCGCCTTTGGCCCCGCCCTTGCTGACCGGCACGACGGCCGCAAGGGCTGGGAGCACCTGGCAGAGACGGTTCCAATCCGCAGCGTAGCTGTCGTAGATATCGCGGATGCCGTCCAAGTGGCGCTGATGGCCGCCACCCTCCAACACGCGAAAATCCTCACGCGGCAACGTAAACCCAAAAAGCCGATTAGCTTGATCTATAGCGTAATCTTGGTGTGTGTAAAACACCTGCCTTCTTCTACGTTCACCGCCTCTGTCGCCACGCGGCTGTCCGGCCATGCACCGAGGCTGCCCCTCCACCGGGCGCGCTCGGAATCCTAAGCCCCTCTGCCTTAGCTGCCCCTTTTGGGCTACTGGGCGCTGGGCTTACTTAAGGCACTGCGGTAGGTCTCACTACCTACGGCTGATAACCAGTTAAACAGAACAAGACACAACCCACACGAGGCCTACCGCAGAGAAGTGCAATAGACGCTCTTTTTCTAGTCATGTCTTGAGCCAAATACATTGTAGAATTCAGTGTGAAACGAACACTCTCTGAGCCTACGGCGTAAGGCCTAGAAGCTATGCTTTACTACACCACTACTAGGTGCTTAGGGGTCGATATTTCTTAACTTAGGGGGACTGGTTTAGAGTTTAGGGCAAGCCTGCTTGTGCCAGAAGCATGGCGGACAACGGCAAGGGAGACGAGTTGCATGGTCATTGTCCGCATGTCCACACCTGGGGGCGCTGTTGCACAGTCGACATATTCAACATCCTTGAAGCACCGAACCTTAATGCATTGCAACAAGCCCCAACCATACAGCATAACCCCCAGGCCAAAACAATAAATGTAAGGAAACCTTTCGACTCGACTGGCATGTGACGGGCCGGGTCGACATCTACAAACTCCGAAACCACTCCTGCTTAACGGCCTGAATCACAGAAATGAAACCTTGCTAAAACGGCTTCTGTCGACCACATGCGACTCAGATTCTGCATGGGTGCAGAAGGGGGGTGAGTTTATAAAAGTAGGTCGAACTGAAGAATGATTGTGCCACCCAGTTTCTGGCGTCTGTCCCAGCTCCCCCACAGAATAAACCCCCGAGCTAGGTGGGGCTTCTAAGGCCTTTGAAAAATATTAGTAAATAAGATCCTCTTAAGCCCAATAAGGGAAAATATAAAATGCCCCAGCTCCCCTACCTAGCGAGTCATCTCAATCGATGGCAGCTGAAACAACCAAAGGTCTGGTCCAATTTGGGCTCTCTGAACATCGGGGCCACCTCTTTAAAGGTAACTCCAGTAAGTTGGAATATGGTTTCAGGGTAGGATACCCTATAATTTACCATAAAGGGTTTAGGATAATCATATTCCAACTTTCTGGCTTTTACTGTAGCACATTGAGGATCCTCCTACTTAGGGTTGCATAATTGGGACCCGGCTTAAGCGAGCAAGGGGGCTGTCGATGATGTCTTGCGACATTTGTCATATCTTCGCTGTGGCTTACTCCTGTTTTTGCTCAGCGATTACATACAGTTTGTCCTTGACTCATGCTACACGCACGTTTTCGCTCTGATTCGCTGGTCTACCTCCACGCTTGCGGATAAGCACAGGGCTACTTCATGCGAGACTCCGCCAGTGAGGTATGAACAGATGATGCGACAACCACCCTCAATCCTTGGCATCGCTCAGGGTCCATGTACCTAGAAAGTATGCATGTACTTGGGCCGTAGAATGCCGTAGACTAGCTTTACAGGAACCACGTCCAGGCCGAAGTATATGCGATACATCTGGGTACATGGACCCTGAGAGTATGAGACTTCGGGCTATGGGGCCAGCCCTCTCTCCGGATACGGGCATAATGTCAGCCAAGGATTTTGTTTTAGGGCGTGTGGGGTTGAGCAGGCCTACAGCACATATTTTGGGCTTCGGTAGGTTTATGAGGATCCAAACGATGCCTGCATGTCCCGCACTCCGTCTAGGGGGAGGCAGCGGCCATGCATGAAACCGTAGCTACCGAACAGGCAGGCTCTCAGTCTGGACTTCTTATCCTGAAACCCGTGGAACTTCGACTTTGACACTGACCCTAAAACCTCATTTAACCCTAAACCGAAAGGAAACTTGGACCCTAGACCCAAAGGCCTAGCCAGAACACCCTGAACATGCCCTAAACCCCGAGGCCAAACCATCCACCGGCCCTTGAAGCAGGGACCCGGATCCTAATGCTGTGAGGCTTTACCGGTTTGAAGGTTTAGGCTAATTTAGGGTTCAGGGGCTAACTGGGAGGATGAGGTGACTTCTAAGAAGCTCAATTGGGGCTATGAGTATTTGTAAATGCAGCTACCTTATGTTGAAATCTTAGCTACGAAGTCCCATGATCCTCTCGGTACCGTTGAAGTTAAGATGCGCGGTCCAAAGATCATGCTGCAGAAGGCTCCTGGGCTATGTTGAGCCTTAGGGTAATGTAGGAACGTGATTAGGTAACCCTGGGTTGTAGCCAAAAATAGTAGGGTCCGCAAAAGGAACCCTAATAAAGGCCCAAGGTTTCTTAATCAGGTTCCTACATTAATATGGTACCCTTATAGATCCCTTACAGTAACTCTTATAGACCCCTGTAAAAGGAACCCTCATAAAGGCCCAAGGTTTCTTAATCAGGTTCCTGCACTAAGTGCCTCGACTCTTAAACTCCTAAACCCCAGACCAAAGGCTCAATGTGCCCAATCTAAGAGCTTTGGGGTTTAGGGTTTAGGGTTTAGTCAGGAAGCTACATTTCTACCTGTAAACCCAGGCTTACTTTAGAATGCAGAGTGCAGGGTACCTGGATTCGAATGGGTACCAGCTACATGGCGCTTAAACGTCAAACCAAGGACAGAAAGCCCATGAGGATGCTTAAACTGTTATCTGTTGGGTACTGCCCCAATACAGCAACAGTCCATACAAGGGCTACTATCAAGGGCCTTTCATACCTTATAGCTATACTTTCTATTATCTAACTGTTATATACTGAGTGGAAGCCGCAGGCAGAAAACTCGGATTACCCTACTAGCGCTACTTACAATGACCTCGGTCTTAAGTGCCATGGCCAAGGGTAAGAAGGCGAGATCTTTTTTCTTGGCAGCAAAAGTATGTAAGTTCTAAGGCTTTGAGTTTAGGGTTAGGGTTTGTGGTTTCGGACGATTGTAGAACCCCCATCCCACACCCGAATCGAGCTGGGTGCGGTGGCTTGAGCTGTAACGCAATGACTTCAAAGATGGCGTGCAAAGTTGCTAGAGATACGGTTGATGATATAAAACCTGCATTACTATGGGAATTAATTATGGTATATTCCTTGTTATGGGTCATGCAGGATTTCTATCATCAGCCGTATCAGAGTATCATCCCCGGGCCCAAACCCCGCGAGACATGAGCCTTAACTTTGGGCCTACCCTAGGGCTCCTTAGTAGTTCCTTTTTGGGGTTCATATATAGAACCCTATAAGGTAATCCCAAAAAGGAACTACTAAGGAGCCCCAGGGTAAACTCGAAAACCTACAAGCCCCACCTAGAGCTGCCAAGCTGATTTACTCGAGAAAATGTAGAAGCACCACTGTTTGGGGTCATATCCATTTTAGAGCGCACATGGGTACTCTAGGTAAACTTAAAACACATAAACCAGCAAGCTTTGGCGAAAGCGTCTCGTTGTTGATAAACGAATGCAGGCTGCTCTGCGCAGCTACACTGGTGAGGAGGGCCCATGACAATCTGCTTCGATCACTTTCCGAAGGCTACTGGGCTTTGAAGTACCCGGGGAGATAAAAGTATAGACTTAGAAACTTGTATTTCATAATGGTTCCTTTAAGAAAAAAGTATTAAAGTACGGTACTCCAAAGCTCAGGCTAAGTACAGACGCTGGTGCAACATAGATTTTCCGGGAATCACCTTCTTATGGATTTATGTGAGGATCCTCTGGCGTATTCCGCCTGCTATACTTCCGGGGGTTTCGGGTTCAGGGTTTATGGTTCAGGGTATAGGGTCTGGGGTTTCGGGATCCCCGCCGCACCTTCAGTTTTAACCCGGTTTGGCTGCATAAACAAACAGTGAGAGTCGAAGGCGACGACTTACGGCCTAACTGAAGGCTACACTCCCAAAAAACTCAGCTACAAAATACGATCCTAAACTCAAGTGCCTCGTTAATACCCAGGTCCATTGCACCGTTTGAGCTTCCGAAGGCAATTTTGAAGCCTGATAAGGTCGGAAACAAACAATGCAGAGATACTTAGGAACCCAACGGAACTCTTCCGAAAGCACTCTAGGGGCCGATCTTGTAAGAATAGAGTACTGCGATTATAAGCAACTTTAGGGACCTGTCTTGCGAGGTACTCAGGCCTCTTTCTTAAACTCTGGCGGCCTTCACCCGCCGATCCCCATGATGTCAACATTTACCTATAAAGGGCTTCCCGAGCTTTAGTTTTTCGAACAGGGCTCCGTGATGTATTTTGCCCTTGAATTCGCCTAAACCCCAAAGTTATATACCCCTATGTTGGGGCCTCTGATCTCTCTGCTCAGCAGTTTTTGAGGCCCTCCTGTGAAACCCGTTCGGCTTGCCTTGCTCAGGCTTAGCAATACCCGGGGGCAGGGAGGGTCTGGGGCGTTAGGGTACAGCGTCGCATTCAATTAGGCTACAGGGTTCGGGTGTAGGGTTCACGGGCTGAGAAGCTGCGAGTTTCTATGCGGCTAAATCCTAAACCCTAAACCCTAAAAAAAGGTCGGGCTTCTTGGTTGGCATCCGGGGGGGTAGTCTAGCAATATCGATGCGAGAGCTGGTGCAGGTCGCTGGTCTATGCGGGAGCTGGTCTAGGCGGGAACACCCTTGAATCCGAAAGCCTAAACCCTAAACTCCTAGACCCCAAACCCCTAAACTTGGGCAGAGCCCGGTACGCCCGGATCCTCAACGGTGTTGCCCTATCGAAGGCCAGGCATGGTCTTTCAGAAAGTTGGGTTTGGGGTTTCTCGAACATGATCCGTGTAACCGGTAGCTTACCAAGCCTTAGCTCTGCCCCTATTTCGGCACAAATTATCAGATTGTCTAATGCAACTGCATTCATGATTGAGAAATGGTGCGAGAGTTTTGGGACAAGGATTTCCAACGGTCTACAAGAAGGTATCCTTACCTTTCGAACTACATCACACTTAGACGGGCAGGGGACTGTTACTGGAGAATACCAAACTCGGCCCTAAACCCCGAAAGCCCAAACGACCGACACGGGAGTTTCCGGAAATAGGGGACCCTAATTTTTAGCACCCTAAATAATTAGTAGGATCCTGATTATAAGCACGACCAAATCAGGTACCCCTAATGTCAGAAACTCCCACAACCTAATGCTGTGATACCCCAACCCTTACTAGCTACTCAGGCCCCTATTATGAGTAAAACTTGTCGGGTATCATGGGGAACTAAAGGTTAACCTTTTTGGCTATTCAGGCGTTATATAGGGATTATACTGCCCAAAAGGTTAAAGGTTACCTGCTCTACTACTAGGTGAGTAAAACTTGGAAATCGAGAGCCGAAGGGAATAGGTTCGAGATCCAAGGAAAGCACTGAGCATGGCAAGTTTGTGTTTCGGGAGGCCTCAAGAGGTGGGATGCAGGCAGGTAGGACCCAGGATACCTTGAAATCGGGACTCTGGATTTGGGAATTCCCCACATACCTTCATCCTACCTTTTGAAGCCCCTGGCAGTCTGCTTCGTACGGACGTTCCCGTTGTGATCAATCCTCGCGGCACCCCGTGCCACACCGGAAGCCATGCCAAAAGGACGAACGTGCCAGGAGACACTCTGTCAGAATCTCCAAATGCAACTCGGTTTGCCAATGATATCAATGCGAGAACCTCGATTTACACCGAG